CTCTGGCACTCTTGCCTGCCCAGGTCTGGGAGGGGCCTGCCTCTGGGCACAGTCACCCTCTGCTCGCCCTGACTTCAGCACACACGGGCAGAGGGAGCCTCCTTCCTGGAGTGGACTCCCTGTCGCTTGGCCCGGGGCCCCACAGGAGCACTGGTCAGAAGGGCATGGGCCAAGAACAGCCTCGTCCTGGCAGAAAAGGCCAGAAAGCCCTTCCTGGAAGCCCCAGAGCCACACCTGCCGGGTTCCTGCGCTGTTTTCAAATGCAAAGAGGCTGGCATAAAGTTCAAAAAAAGTTCATAGCCCCAAGGTCACAAATATCAAAAAACACACTTCCTGCAGGGGAGCAGAAAATGGGCCACCCTTATAGGGTGCAGAATAAAAGGCGTTTTAGACCCATTCTTTGAAGTGAAAGTTACCAAGCCAGGGGCCTTCAAAGTACACAGCAGAGATGCAGCCACAGCAGAGAAGTGAGTCACACAGGACGCTGCGGTTTCCTGCATTCGTGTGGCCTCTCCTCAACCAGCGTCACATCCACCTACATGTGGACGGTGGCTGGGGACCCCATGGTGGAGATGTGGGTTGTTCACAGAAGCTCGGACCTCCTGGGAAGTGTTGGTTCTGAATGGAGGGAGTGACCAGGAGGAGGGCTGGCTATGTGGACCCTCTGGGCAGGGACTGTGCCCCATGTCCAGATGAGGGGTCACACCTGCACACCACACCCAGGGAAGGTCAGAGAAGATGGGCTGGTGGAGGCCCCGGAAGAAATGACTGCAGAGACTCCTCCAAGCAGTGCTGCCAATGGAAATCTTTCTCCACAGCAGTGGACACCGTCTGAGATCTGTGTGGCCATGGGGTGCCTGAGCCCTGGACGTGGCAGGGAGATTGTGGAGCCAGGGAGCAAGCCCCAGGGCCCCGTATTTCCTGCATCTCAGTGGGCAATCCACAGAGGCCTCACACCCGTTAAAGAAGGAACAGAATGTAAATGGATATAGAAAAATAAGTATAAACAAGACGATCGACTCACTGAGAAAACCCAGTTCTTGCTGGGGGCCTGAGGCAGCTGAGGGAGGAAAAGCCCCAAAGGTCCAAAGTCCCTTAGGTCTGGCTCCCCAGGCCCGGCCCAGGGGTCATGCCTGAAGCATCGGTTGCCTTCTCTCCTCTAGGCTTAGTGAGCAGGGCACAGACAGAAGCACAGCAGGTGAGGGTGAGGGGCTGGACCAGGGGTCTGGACGGTCAGTGGGAAACGGCCAGCGAGCTGCTGCAGGGTAGACACCACACTGATCCAGTCATATCTCAGGGGCCTCATGAGGGAAAGGTATGGATGACCTCTGAAGTCACAGCCCGTTACCACGGGGGCAGAGAAGACTTGTGAAAGACACCCCACAACACCGATGGAAGTGCAGACAGAGCCGCCTGTTTAATTCAGAGCTGGTGGCTGCGCCTCCTGCCAGTGATACCCCTGCTCCCACAAAGGCTCACATGTCACTTCCACGGGGATCCCAGGGCTGTGGAACCTTCGTGCCATGGCCTCACGGCTCGTAGCTCGAGACTCAGTGAATGGTACCCACCCTCCCCCATCCCCCTGCAAAACACAGGACTTTATAACTACCCAGGACCCAAGCCCGGAGGCTGCTCCCACAAGTCAGGCTCTGATACTTTTGTTCATCACAACAACTGGAAAGGAAAATCAAGTAACTTTTACTAAGCAAAGAGGGTTTATTTGAATGCCAGGCAAGGCCACTTCCCTGAGGGAAGCCTGACCTCAGACAAGCTGGACATGGAGCTCGCACAGCCAGGCTGCGACCAACCATGCAGGCTGGACTTGCACTCAGGACAAGAGAACATTCCCAAGTCGTCCCACTGCTTCTTGTTAAACCACCAAACCCCGAGCACAGAGACAGAGATCCAGGCAGCTTCCAGTGCAAGGACCGGCCATTTTGCCAACGCTCAACACTTGATTGTTTAATTCGGAAGGTGAGAAGCGACACCGGCCCACAACACCCTGATCACTGTGCTTCACATGTTAAATTAAAACTACTGCTTTGTTACCTGCTTTTCTAAGGCAATTACAAGTCAGAAAACTTTTTATTTACTGTTATCTTAAATCCCACCGCTCTACCTTCCTTCCATCAAGTGGACCCGAACTCCGCTGCTGTCCCTCTGACTCCATCCTCTTGAAGAACTCGCTTTGCGTGGGGGCTGTGGGGCCAGTCTGCCTGTCGTTGGACAATGGCTCTGCTGGGTGACAGTGGGGCCTCCTTCCTGGGATCTGAAGCTCCAGGTCCCTGTCCTCTGTAGGCAGAGCCTTAACAAGAGCGGGGATTATCATCTTTGTCCCTCTGGATGTCCCTCCTAACTTGGGTCGCAATTAAGATCTTCATGCTCTGCCTTTGGCAGTTTGCTATAATGTGTCCAGGACACGTTGTATGTTAGTGGTCTCCGAGATTCTAAATCAGTGGCATTTTGCTTTTCATTCATTTTGGAAAATTCTTGGCCTTAACTTCTTCAAATATTTTCCTGCCCTTCTTTTCTCTCTTCTGCTCTGGGTTCCATTACCTTCATGTTAAGTTCTTCATTCTGTATTTTTCATTTTTTTCCGTGTTGGATATCTCAGGTTCACTGATTTTTTTCCCTCAGCTGTGTCTGCTCTGCAGTGGGTACATTTTTGGGGCGTATGTATGTGTCTAGTAGTTTTTTGTCATGTCAACCACTGTGTGTAGAAGCCAGTAGCTACTGAGGTGCACATAATTACCCAGAAGTAAGCATGCATGGCGGGGCAGGGGGCAGGGCTGGACAGTCTAGCCAGAAAAGTTGTTCAGCCCCAAACACAGGCCATGCAGGGCCTGTGCTGAGCAGCCCTTGGCCCTCAGCTGTCTTCACCTCCGGCTGGGAGGCCTCACGTCTGCCCTGTACACACATATGCAGTCCTGGGTCATGAGACTGGGCCCAAGTCTGCGTGTAGAACTGTGGTTTCCTTCCCTGGCTCTCTCCTCCTGGACCCTCAGACCAGAGGAAGGCGGGCCTCCCTGCAAAGGACGGGCTGCCCCATGCGAGCCTTCAGCCCTAACACGCCTTCCTGGCCTGTCCTTCCCCAGGGCCTCTGGCAGGGAGGCACACACATTCCTACAGAACCTTCTCCTGTCTGGAGCTTGGTCCACAAAACCAAAAGGGAGCTCGAAGAAGAATTAAAGGAAAAGTGACATGCGGATCTGTCTGTCCCGTGACATGAACAATGGTAGGACAGCACAGGAGTCCTATCTCCACCCTCCAGTCGATTCTACCAGCAGCAGGTCATCTGCCTGGCTTATCACTATGGCTGGCATGGCTGGTGCTCAACTGACGTGGAAGGAATGAAGCAAGAAGATGGAGGTGAGGCTGCTGCGGTGAGGGGAGCATCTGCAGGAAGCAGAGTCCGTGTACGAGCATCAGGGGTGGAACGGCCACCCAGCTCCCTTTCCGCCCTGCTCAGATCTCAGCACCGCAGACCAATGGGCCACAAGAACCTCGCCCTGGAACTCGCAGTTCTGTTCTGCTCCCCAAGCTCCCTGAGAACCTGGGCCAGCCCTGCACTAAGCATGTCCTGTCCGGGACCGACTAGCGGAGGCCGTCCTCGCTACCCCCAGTGGGAGCCCCGGTGCTCGATTGCTCCGTGACTGCTCTGCCTGTAGCTTTCCCGCAAAGCACAGCCAGGACCTAAAGTCTACCCACCCGAAACCAAATGCTAGCTTGTACCTGGGAAACCTCCTCTGCACAGTGTGTCCACTGAGGAGGCAGGACCGTCTGGGAGGAGAGCGTGGGTCCAGGGGACACTGAGGGCCTCACGTCACCAGCTGCTCCATTCCCCAAAGGGAACGACCTGTGAGGAAGCAATGGGACCTCCCACACAGGATCCATCTCCTGAATGGAGACCACTGTTAGCAGGAAGGACCTGATACCTGAGGTCCCATTATGAAATGAGGCCCTCACCCCAACAGGAAGCCTGGGTGGGAGGCAGGTCAAGTGCAAACATGCTGTCAGACCAGATTGTGCACTCAAAGCAAATAGGGGGGCCAAGCAAGAAAAGCCAGGAAATGCAGGAAGATACATACCCCAGGTTAATGCTAAACTCGGAATGTGAGATCCTAAATGACTGTCACTTACCAAATGAATACCTGAAAAACAAAAGAAAAATGTATCAATTTAGGCATGTTTTACCAAAAAACTTCCAATTTAAGCATCATGTTACCTCATTAAATACAAAGCAGCCCAGTGACTCCAGGACAGTGTGGGGACAGGCAAGAGAGCTTATGACATTACTGAGGCATGAGGTGAAGTGAGGGGAGATCTGCCCAGTAGAATGTAAGCTTAGGGTCCACCCTCTGTCTGTGATTCAACTGGCGGTGGGTTGTTAGTGGTGAGTATGATTTAATGAAAAAACCTGGGGACAAGTGGACACATAATTCTAACCTGTGTGTTCAAAGGTTAACTGTACTTGGTTTTCCTGCAGTGAATAATTTCCATCAAACACCATGAAAACGTCATACTCTGGAATCTCCAATTTCAAAGGACCCCCCATTATCCCAAGCACAGTTTTTAAGAGAAGCAACTCTAAATGAAGGACTTATCAGACATGTCTGTGGATCTGAGGGGAGTTGGGGGACTGGTCCAGGATGCACCCTGGGGCGGGAAGATGTACTGAGCACAAGAATGCTTATGGACCTGAGTCATGGAAGTAACCCCCAACGTAAGAGAAGGGGACCTGGATGGGACTGCACTGGCCCTGAAACAGCCACTCCTCCTATCTGAAGCCTCTGGCCTGCAGCCCACATTAACACCAACGTCCGCCAGCACACTCCAGGGTAGAACTGCCATCAGCATCTTTAACTGACCCTGTGACTGACTATGCGGAATAAAAAGGAGCGAGGCACCGGCACTCACAACACCACGCATGAGCGTCTGCTCCATGACAGAAGCCGGATGCGAGGCCTTGTGCTGTGACCACACAACTATGAAACATCTGAGCAGGTGTGTCCGAACAGAATGGAAGCAGACGTGCAGCCAGGGCTGGAAGGGGACATAGCTGGGAGGGTATGAAATGTGTCAGACTAGACCGTGATGGGTCTTGCACGCGTTAAATGGTTACATTTTATGGCACATAAATGATGACGTTAAGAAAAACAAATAGCTGTCTGATGAAGTACGTGTGAATGAAAGGGTGCGGGGATGGTCTATTGTTCTGTTTTTTAAAGAAACTCAAGTCCTCCCTGCTCTGAGAGACTTAGATTTTGCTCCCGAACAGTGTGTTAACGCCTTACCCCCACCTGTCTGTTAAGGACAGGCGCTCCGCCTCGGAGATGGCCCAGCTCACCGACAACTCATGTCCATGGGAAGGACAGAAATCAGAGAAGCAAGAAGGGGTCTGTGCCGCCCCGCACATAAGCCAAGTGTCCATAGCGCCTCTGCCTTGTCCTAGCCAAGCAACTCCTTCACAAGGCTCTGATTTTCACAGGCCTCTGATTGGAAAATGACACCAGGATCCAGTGACTTCTCATTTTGTGAAAAGTTATCACAGATAAATATTTGTTAAATTACTCTCTCCTGGCTGGGACCGGCTAGTCGTGAAACTGCAGAATCCTCCCACTTCCTTGTCCAGTGCAGAGCTTCCCGAAGGCCTGCTCAGGAAGCAGGGAGATAGGAATTTGTAATGAAGTGTGTTCTAACAAGCCACACAATTCTTGATGTGTGTATGAGTGTCACGAGCCGATGGCGAAACAGCAGCAATACAAGATGGAAAGGCCGCCAGGACACCAACCTCATTGGACGTGGGACCCGCTACGGCACTGGCAAGCCACATGCAAGGGCAGAGAAGCCTGTCTCAGTGTCTGACGACCACTGCCCCCTCCCGTGTCCCAGCTGAGGTGGCTCTGGGCAGCAGGTGGAGCACTCCCCTGACGAGGACGTGGGGATGCGGGGGCTCCCCTAAGAGTGCGGGAACTGCACCCGACAACGCACCTCAGCTCCTCCCTGCCCCAGGGGACAGGGCCCTGGCATCGCCAAACAATGGAGGGAACGGCACCTTCCTGTTGCCAGGAGCTCGTAAGATTCCAGCAGGGGTTTATTTCTATGCAGCAAACATATCCACACCTGTAAGAGTGACTGGACTGCAGGCAGGGGCAGCAGAGCATGTCACTGCGTTTCAGGCCCAGAGCCAAATAAGGTTTTCATTTTCAACAGTCTGAATGCAGCAGCCAGGCAGAGCGCTCCCTCCATGTTTCTGCAGCTTCTGGCATCTGCTCTCGGCACTCTTTGAAATCGATACTCTGTTCCTTCTGCCAGATTGAAGTGCCAAGGTGGCTTCCTTTGCAGGAAGGGACCCCTGGAGCCCTCGACCTTGGTCCAAATTTAGGGAGATAATCCTTTCCTCTTTGTGGGGGGCCGAGAAGGTAGGAAGAGGAAAGGGCAGCTATACAACCATCCTTAAGAGCAACAAAAAGGCCCTCTAGGATCACCGTCAGGCAGAGCACAGATAACAGAATCAGAAATCCAACTTTCTGGAAAAGTTGATGTTAACGAGAGAAACTGGAGCAGAAGGGACAATGAGGACTTCTGATGTTGTTTTAGCAGGACAGTGCCAGGCCCTGTCAGGTTCTCCTGAGACCACTCCAATTTTATGCAATAATAATTAATGAACTCTGGCCTTGTCTCTCTTCCAGGGTCACTGACTTCCAAGATATTTAAACTCCTAGAGCAAGAGGACTAGCACCCAGAGCACCAGAGTAAATACGCATGAGTCCACAGCAATATGACCAATGCTGAGTAAATATGGGACATGGGACAGACCTGTGCGGAAGAACCCACGTCACCGTGTGCATGCTCTGCCTTCAAGGATGGGCCAACTCCCCTCCCTGTGTGTGGGCTGCGTGCCCACCAAACGCGACATCCTCCAAACAAGAACACAGAGTTGACTTCAGACAAAAAGAAGACCTTGACAGTGGAGATACCTGAAGGCATGACTCCAGCCAGAGGTCAGAGTCACTGTCAGCAGAACCAGCTCCCTGATAGATGTGTGGACAACAGCACTACACCTCTGGTTTTCCTCCCAAACCCACCATCACCCTGTCAACAATGAGGAAACCTCAGACAAATCCTGCCGGAGGGACATTCTACAAAATCCCTGTCTGGTCTTCCTCAACACCATCAAGGCACCAGAAACAGGAGTGTCTGAGATGAGATTGTCCCAGTCCAGAGGAGCCCAAGGAGGCATGACGCCAGAGGATTCCTTCCCAGGGAGGGAAGAAGCAAGCAGATGTGAATAAACAACTGTGTCGGTACTGGCTTGTTAAGTGTGACAAGTGCACCGTCTAACATAGAGGATGGTAGCAGGATCGGGAGTCAGGTACACAAGAACTCAGCACTGCTTCTGCAGTGATTCAGTAAATCTAAAACTATCCTAAAAATGAAGTTTGTGAAATTAAAAAGAAATTGATGGAGCTGGGCAGCAACGGAACCTGTGCCTCAGAAGAGCTGCCTCCAATTCCGCAAACAAAACACACAGAGCACGGATGTCACCGTGAGGCTAGCCCAGCGTCCCTCCTGCGAGCGCAACGCCCAGGGCTCTGGCAATGTCAGGTTCTGGCCAAAACAAGACAACTCACCCCAAAATGAGGAACCCAGCGAGGCACCTGGCTGCTAACCCAGTGCCCAGCTGCCTCCCACCCCAGCCCGCCTGACAGAGCTGTGCCCCCAGCCAGCAAGGTTTCCTCTATAGAACCAGATGGAACTACATACTTCAGAGTTGCCCACCCTCGGGGACGACTGTGACTACTGCCACCCCCACCCCATCCTCAGGTACCACTAAAACCCGCTCCTCCATGCTCGATTGCGAATGATGGCAGGGTGTGATCACCAAGCACTGGCTTGGCACTGCTGCACTTGTGTCTCCCTGCACGTGGCCCAGGGGCTCGGGGGGCTTCTCACTGATGGTTCACAGTGGCTAACACTTTCCTCAAGGAGGAAGCTCTTGGAATGGCCCATCACCTAAGCTAAGCGGCTCTCATGCTTCTGGTCTTCCAGAATACTGTCCAGTGTCATTGGGAAGACACCACAGGCATCAGAAAGGCTCTGTCTAGCAGCTGGCTGCCTCCTTCCCTCAGGGGTAGAGAGCTTGACCAACCAAGACGGAACAAAGTCACAGCCTAAGAAAATGCCTCGAAAGAAGTGGGTCTGCTCCTCCTTTTCCCTTCCACGAGCCAGTGAGGCCCCAGTGAAGTCCAAGGAATTTTCTCATCCATCAAGAAGCTCTGACCTGCCGGGCCTACTATGTAAGTCTATGGAACCTGGGCCCAACGGAGCCCCCTCTGGGGCATGGGGGTTGCTCCCATCTCCTATAAGGAACCTGACAGTAGCCCTGGTTTGAGAGAAGACAGGGCCTGAAAACCAAGACTGTGCCCACCCTGGTCCTCAACATGAGGGCAGCAGGTTGGGGGGATGGCAGGTGGGGTGGGGAGGGCTGCAGGTGGCAGGGCAGGTGGTGGGCGGCAGGGGTAAATGAAGAAACCACAACTCACACCTTAGACCTGCCCACGCATGGAAACACAACCTTCTAGCTGCCATGCCTTGAATGTCGGAAACCCAAAGGATGCTGGCACATGTGTCCTTGACAAAGCACAGGGGCATGTGAGAAGGAGAGCTGACGGCCACCAGGGACTCAGGGCCACAAAGGTGCTGGCAGCAAAAGAAGGTTCTGGAAACATTCTGCAGGTAAAATCAAGAGGATATGGAGGTTGGTGAAACACGGGGGAAGTGGGAAGAAACATGAATGAGTCCCAGGTCTCCCCGGGGTCCCACCTGGGGTAAACAGGCAACGTGTGGATGCAGTGACTTGTGGAACTGGGGACAAAGCCACAGCAATGACACAGCCCAGGCATTTACAGGGCCGGGACAGGGCCTGAGCAAGCTGCACAGGCTCATGGGACCTGGGAGCAGACTGAGGGAGCAGCAGGGCAGCACTCTCACTGCCATGGCGGCCCCATGCCTGCCCGCGTGGCAGAGGACCTGGGAGAGCAGAAACCCTGGTGGGGGCAGACCACTGGCGTGCCCCATCTCAGTTCCCTTCCTCCTGCTAGAGGTGGGAACACTGGGATCTCACCCTCCCTCCCACTGCACCTCCTGCCACCACCAGACAAGGAGCTAATAAAGCCGTCTTTTCTGGCTCCTTTGAAAACACTTGCTTTCATGAACCTGAGGACCCGGGTCATCACCCTATGAAGCACTGAGTGCATGACAGAAGAAGCCGCTCTCCCCGATATGAAGGTCTTCGACCAGCACCTCTGTGAAGGTTCGTCAGGCTCCGCCTGCTTCGCAAACACTTATTGGGACCACGTGGGGAAGGCCAGAGAAGGGCGGTAATGGTCCCAGAATATGCAGGCTGTCGGGGAGAGCTGTCTGACTCCGCCCAAGACACTGACATGGGGCCTCACTTGGTCTCTCTGCAGCAATACAGGAGCCCACTTCTACTGAGGCTGTCAAAGACACTGGTATGGGTCAGCAGGAGCAGAGAGAGCACCCACTTAAGAGAAAGGAGAGAGGGGGCCCCAAGCAAAGCAGCGGCACACACGAGCAAGGCTGGGCAGGCGCCGTGAGGCCACGAGACCCCAGTGCAGGGGCTGTGGTGCAGGGAGAGATGTGCCTGGTGCCTCTGTGCCCCAAGGGGGCTTCCTGTCCTCACCGCAGAATGCCAGTTGGACAACATTTGAAAGACAGCCCATCAACGGTGTCCATTATCTGAGCATCTCATCCCAAACAGA